CTCGTCCCCGCCGCCCTGGGGCTCCCAGGGCTCCCGAGCCGCCGAGTGACCCCGTGCGCGGCGGGCGCCGGAGCCTCCGCGGCGTCCCCGCCGCTTGCCCAACTCTGATCGCACTCCCGCCGGCGCTGTTCTGCTGCGAGACCGTGTCACACGGCTGTCGGCACTGTAGGGACGGTGCTCTTTTCAGTGGGATCCAGTAGCTTTTGGCGAAGTCCTCCGGGGAGGGCAGAACCCAGTCTGCGGGAGAGGCACAGACTTTGGCACATTTCTCCTGTGCATGCGGCGACTCGAGCGGGGCTGGTGGGGCCCTGCGGCTGCCCTGTGGCTCTGATCGGGCTCGGCTGCTGGGCTCTGCCGCGATTTTAGGAGTGACACGAAGAGTTTCCGGGAGGAGTTGTGGCCCCGTACGTGCCCTGCTATGCACCCAGCCTTCCAGCAGTCGGTGCGCGGCCCACCCTTCCCGTTCGTGTGATCGCGGCGGCCCCGCAGCCTCTCCGCCCGAGCTGCCAGCCCTGCCGCGGCCGCGCGCCCCGGATGAGCCCTGGCCAGCGGCTCACAGTCCGTAAACAATTTTCAGGGATCGTGGAAACCAGAGCAGTGGGTAAAGCAAGCGAGTGGGGCGCTGGAGTTGTACAGCCCCCTCGCATGGGCTTGCTCTCGTGCATCGGAGGAGGAGGGTAGAGTGCCCGAGAGTGGCGCGTCTGCAGAAACAGCACATGCAGAGATTTCACCGGAGCCTGGAGGGAAAGCCTCACATGTCTGGTAAATAAAGTCGGATTTTTATTGTGTACGTCTGAGAGATTTGTATAGATCTGAGACTGTGAAAATAAATGTCAGTTGCCGGGGTAAAGCATAGGTCAAATAGTTCGTTTGCATTTCTGATGAGTTTAGTGAGGCAGCGTTGCATGGCACTTAATGCGTGGAAGAGAGACAAAGGCTGCTTTGTCGGTGTTACGTTCCTTTCGAATTTTAGATACACAGTGTTTTTCCTCCCCCTGGCCAATGCTACAGGCAAAATTGATGTGCCTCTCCAGCCCCCGAAAGCTGCTGTAATTATTAACTCTCTTGTATTTGGCCTGAAAGGCATAGCTCCTGGGAGGTCGTCTCTCCTCCTCTGTCCCCAGCAGAGACCTGAGCCGGGGTTTCTCAAGCGGGAGCCCAGTGAGGAACATGAAGTGGAAGGCGGCTTGCCGAGATGGCCGTGCTGCAGAGCAGGATCCATCCAAAGGCAGGAGAGGGAGGGGAGGTGGCTGCTCCAGCCACAGGCGTGTCCCTCCCCGCCGGCAGGGAGATGCTCCTGATCCTCTGTGCACAGCTTGCTAATGCCCACTGCTGAGCTCTGCCCACAGACATGCGATCTTGCTCTGCCTACTCAGTGTAAATTAAGGGGGAAAGGATGGGGACTCCTGAGTTCAGGGCGGAAGAAGCAGGTGGCTCCTGCCTCAGGCGAGCTCACTCACTATGTGACCTTGCTGAGTTACTTAACTTTCTTGTACATTTATTTTCACATATGTAAAACAAGAGCCCGTCAGACTCAATTGTCCAATTCTCCCGTTCCCTTTCCTGTCTTTTAGAAGATCAAAACCCTTTAAATTAAATCTCACGTGTGCGTTAAGGATGTGGAGTAAGGAAGGGGGTCTCGGCAGCCTTTTGCCCCTCCTGCAGTGTCTGGAGCACCCCTGCCACACAGCACACAGTTGGTGAATCATTGCAAGGCCTCTCTCTGGAGTGTGGCACAGCCCCTTTCTGAGTGCATCCAAGGAAAGGTTGCAGTTGGCTGGCTGTGTCAGTGTGTGATGGAGCTCTCGCCTGTACAGGGTTTGGGCCACGGCAGCCCCAGGACCCACTGAGGCTTTGAGAACGCTCGTGTGAGTAGGCGCTTAGCAAGTGCGTGCCTGATGGACCAGGAATGAAGAGAGTGAGAGTGCTTTGACTGAGCAGGCCGGGGGCGGGTCCACTGTGCTGGGGACGGCAGCAGTGCCGGGCCTTTGGTTTGCTTGGATTTGTGCCACCGGCTAGAACACTGTTTGGAAAGGAAGAGAAGGGTTCAAATATTGAGAGTTAACCCTGGGACAGACTGCCCCGAGGACAGTAGGTTCCATGTGTGCTGCTTACCAACTCTGCATGAAGGTTTGGCTCCTCCTCCTTCCAGCACATGGTGGGGCTGTCTCCGTGCTCATTGCAGTCAGGTGTGGCCGTGCAGCTGTCTCGGCCTGAGAAGGTGTGAGAGTCTGCAGGCGCCAGGCCGTGCTCCCCCTTCCCACGGCTGGAGCTTCCTCCGCAGACGAGAAGGAGCTTCTGGACAGTCCCCTTGGACGCACAGCATGGACGAGGAGGAAGCCACTGGGTTTGAAGCCGCTGGGACCTGGGGACTGCTGTTGTTGCAGCACATCCCAGCCTGTGCTGGCCGAGGTAGCACTGCAGAACTGAGGCCACGGCCCACACGGGGCAGAACTGTCCAGGAAGGCCTGTGGTTGCTGAGACAGGAATTCACCGCGTCAAGGACGGGTTGTGAGCACCACGATGAGGCAGGTGCTTGTCCTAGTGACTGGGGAGAAGACACAAGGTAACTCCAGCCTGATGGACAAGCTCTACAGCGCTGGCGTGAGAGTTCCATGGGAAGATGGGACCTGATAAACAAGTATACCGACCAGGGAGAAACGTCCATGACAGCCAGGTAATATGAAGCAGGTGCTGCCCTGTGAGCCAGGAATTCAAGCCAGCGCCCTCAGCAGAACGAGCCAGCCAGACAGTGACTTATGCAGCTGTGACACGCTGACAGATCCGTCTTATCCCTTTGGAGTGGACATCTGTATCGCAACACTGTGCTTCCAGGGTAAAGCCTGACCACGATCGCTGCAGGACTTTCTGGCACTGTTAGCATTTCCCATACTCCCAGCCAGCGAGAGGTCCCGCCCTGACCTGTGGGACAGCCCCATGTGAACGCTGTGCTCTTTCTACCTGCCCCTTGCTTTGTATGTGGCTGGACCTCCAGTGCCCCAGAAGGTGTGATGAGCAGAGATGTAAGCAGGAAACTAAAAGTCACAGCTTATTTGGGGGGCTTTAAAAAGCACTGAGGAAAAGGAACACGAACGATCAACAGGCCAGTGGCAGCTGAAGGGTTCCAGAGCACCGCACCAACATCAAACAGACGGGCAAGTCAGGACCGGGGAGCCCGAGACCAGGCTGTGGGAGGCGTTGGAGCTGAGGAGAGGGACAGTCCTGGCGAGGTCGGTGAGTGGCCCGTGGGTAGAGAGTGCATGGGGTGTGGAGGCAGTTGTCTGTGTGGGTTGGTTTGGCAGTGTTGTAGGTAAGCAGTGAGTGGTGTGGGTAGATTGTCACAGGTGTGGGTAGGGGGCAGTGGTGTGGGGTAAGTAGTGAGTGATGTGCATAAGTACTGAGTGGTGTGGGAAGGTAGCCAGTTGTATGGGTAGTTACTCAGTGGTGAGTAGGTTGTGGTGGTAGGATAGTAGTGGTGTGGGGTGTGAGTAGATGGTGAGTGGTATGGGTTGTCAGTGGT